GAACTATACCTACAGCAATGAGGTGAAATTACAGTACCTACAGTGTGCCTTTAAATATAGAGAAAACAGATTAGTTGTTTGGAGTAATGTGACAAGTGGAAACTTTAAGGGGTGTGTTCTTTGTCCACTTCCTTTCAACCTGTGTATTAATGATTTTGCAATAGGTCATGTATTAGAGCAAGATCTTACTTCAATGTGAAGTACACATATTACGGAAGAAATTGGAAATGTGGCAGGTGTGATTGACTATAGATAAATGCAAACTTGTGAATTTTGTGGTGAGAAATGCACAAGTAAATTATAGCTTAATCCCTTAGTGAATAGACCATTTTTCAATTTTCTTACCGTTAAGGACCAGGGCTGTTTTTACATTTCTGTGGTGTTTGTGTTTAGCTGTAATTTTCCTCTTATTCATTTACTGTACCCACACATATTATATACTGTGTTACTCGCCATTAAATGGTCTTTTAAAGATACCATTCTTTTCATCATATCATATAATTTACTATAAAATAAATTCTAAAATATGATGAAACAAATTTTTTTTAAAACATTTTTTTTTTAACTTTGGCCCCCAAAATCTGTTACACATCTTCAACCGCCACAAAACAGCCATGGTAAATAGTTTTTAAATTTTGTCCTGAGTTTAGAAATACCCAATGTTAACATGTTTAGCTTTTTTTTGCAAGTTCTAGATCAATAAGTACAGGTAGCACTTTGCTATTTCCAAACCATTTTTTTTTTTCAAAATTAACGTTACAGTGTTATCTGTCAGGAATCCCTGAATAACCCTTTACATGTATATATTTTTTTAAAGAAGAGAACCTAAGGTATTAAACTTGGGGTATTTTGATTTTTTTTTTTTTGTGCAACCATTTTACCACCAATCTAAGCCAAATAAAAAATAAAAAAAATTGGTGATTTTTTTGACACACATAGCAATACATGTACTGAGAACTTTAAGAGTTACTGCCAAAGAACACCCCAATATGTTTTCAGCAACATCTCCTGAGTACAGTGATACCACCCATGTATAGGTGTGTCGGGTTCTCTGGGGGCTAAAAGATCTTATTTTGAGGGTGCGCATTCCAGTTTTCCAACTTGGAATTTTCACAGCTGGTCATCATGTACCTATGTCCTATTTGGGACATGTTTGTAATTTACCACAATTAAGCCATATATTTTTGAAAAGTAGACACCCAAGGGTATTAACACTTTCCATGCAGTAATTCTTCCACCAGTCTTTGTCAAACCTTTGGGTAGTCATTTTTTTGTTTTGTTATTTTTCTCTCACATTGTACTTTAGGCATGGATTCTCAGTCCCTGTTATGTGTTACTGACAGAACACCCCAATATGTGTTCAGCAACATCTCCCGAGTACAACAGTAACCCCAATGTACAGGCTTTATGGCATTAATGGCCCTGGGCCATTTGATGGGTGTAATGACATGAATGGGTTCTGTCCTGGAACAGCACTGTCCCTTTAAATGTGGGAACCAATACAGCAAAGAAATAAATGCCAAGACACAAATGAATAGGTTAAATCAAGATATATATATATATATATATATATATATATATATTACAGAGAACCAAAAGACCAAACAAAACAATATATATATATACAATGCCACAAAATATATACAATAAATCAGGATAAGTACGAATAGTGCAGGCAATGTATACTGAAACAGTCCTTTGGTATAAGGGCAGGATTGTGCAGTTACCACGAGTAGTAGGTAGGGCACACATCCAGAGTCGCAAGACTAATATACTGACACCAGGAAGCAAGGTCAGAAGCAGAATAAATTAACAAGGCTGCAGGGTCAGGATCACTGGTAATAAAGCAGAGAACACGGAACCAGAACACAGGATCGGAGGATACAGTAACGCAGGATCAGGAGGACAGAGGACGAAGACCAGGAGATCACAGGAACGAAGACCAGGAGGCGCAGGACACAGGACCAAGGAACAGTATGTAGTATCAAGGATGCCAGGAGCCAGTATCACAAGGAACCAGGAACCAGGGAAACAGGAGACAATGATCTGGCAAGGAGTGAGGGGAGAAACCAAACTATATAGGTACTAAGCAAGGACCAGGTGAAGTGCTTAATGAAAAGAAATTAGGAACAGTGCCAAACAAAGATAGTGGTGAATGTGGGTACTGCAAATCAACTAAGGAGTGTCGTGACAATGGGATTAACTCCCGAGCGCGCAGCCCCGAATTTACCTACCTTTATCCAGCTGACCCAGAGGGATCTTCCAAGGATATTCATACCCTGGACTTACCTGCCTCTGTCCTGCTGGTTCAAAGAAGATATCCCAAGGATACCTACAGTGAGCAAATTAATTGGAAACTTTGGGTCCTTTTTCCTGTACTTTAAGGAATCTACACTGCATCTACAACTCACCAGGAGGCCTCCCAGACTATCTTTGGGTGAGATCAAGCCATGACTTTATCCCAGAACTTTATTTTTCTTATTTTTCTTTTTTCTTTTTACATATTTTACCTTTTTTTGATATTGTTCCCCATATAATTACCTATATACCCTTCAATTGTCTCAGAGTATTTAATGCTTAGTAGAGGATAATTGGCAGGCAGTATATTTTGAATATATTTTGTTTTGTGTTCCACTCCAGACTGATTGTATAGGTATATCAAACACTGTACCCTCTCTCTTGTACTTTAGCTGTGTATAGATAGGCAGCACTTGTTGGGGATCTTACATTCAGTGTTTTGTACTCTGCCTCTACACTCTCATAGTGGTGGGCAAGCCATTGAATATGACTATCTATATACCATTGGTGTCTTTACACAAGATAGATGAGAACTATTTCCAAGTTTATCAAGTTGTGGCAAGAAATTTATATTCATATATATCTTTCTTCAGTGCAGTATCATTTGGTGGTTTTGTATTTTGTGATTTAGGGTCTTTAGAGGTGACCAAGATACCTGCACATTTTGTGTTGACAGAGGGCAAGTACTATTCGGATCTTTTAAAAAACAATGTAGGTAGAGAAAAAAACATGATGCAGCCAAACATGCTCACAATAGAACACTAGCAACCAATCAGCATGGACCGTAGCAAGCCTCATATTTCTTTGCTGCTCACCTGGACAGTTAAGTACTTACCTGTATAAATATTTTCCTAGTTGAATGATTTATACTGTTTTATTTGATATTCCTTACATTTTTTCACACTAACACCTTACGTGTGTCTATTTTACCACAATCACGGTGACATTTTTGTTTTCCCACATTGTCTCCTCACCTTTATTTCATGTTATTACAATTCTATCTGTTTAGACACTTTGTATTTTGATGAGCTGTTAGCAGAATTTTTTCTGAGGTGGCTTTTCACCTCTGTTTCATTATTGTAAATAGGTCTGTTTTGGCATTTTATTTGCGCAAATTTCAGCATGCTCATGGCACACTATTTCCCACCGAACTGACTCCTTACCTCTGTGTCAATTTCACTGTGTGTTTCTTTATTAACGAACTTCATCCCTGTGACGAGACCAATCTCGCCACATTGCATTGGAGAAGCCTGGTTGCTCGCCTGCTGCCTTTGGACTATGGCCCCATGTTAAAAGACATTGTTTTTCCCTGCAGAAAAGACTTATTCGTGCTTTTGTGCCTGGTATTCGGTAGAGTCAATCTACCGAACAACCGCACGAATGACTGGACCACCTGGGAGCTGGAGTGTGCCGTCAATTAGCCTCCCTGAAGCTGCGGTTAACCGCAGCTTAATTGACGAATGCTGGGTGGCCGTCGTTCGTATCACGAACACGAGGTAGCGGCCATTTTAAACATGCGAACGCACAGCGGTGTTCGCTTAATTCATGGAACTGAAATCGGACACAGTTTTGCGCGAACACCGCTGAAGCCGCCGGCCTCCCTTCTTGTTCGGTGAAAGTGCACGAACGACCCGGTGTTCGGTAGTTTTGCTTGAATGTGTTATACCCCAGATAGGAATCCCATGGAGCCCATTCACATGAAACTGACTGTGTAAAGACTTTAACTCCATGGCGATTAAACTGTATTCGTGTGGTCTGAGCACCATTCGCTTAATAATGTGCGCTCAGACCTGAGCTATCTAGGGATATGTTAAATGAATGCTTTTAATGTTATTTGTCTTACATAGTGCATTTTAATAGTAATTCCTGTGTTGGCATCCCCACGTGCATAATGGTGACTTGCCTTTGTCTTGGGAGATAATTGAATTACTTCTCAATTATCTCCAGGGTAGAGGGGAGGAAGCCAGGATGCATTTTGGGAATATAATGTGACTGTGTGTCCTATTTTGCTGATTGTCTGTCCCTTGTCACAGTCTCCCATTTGATCCCCTAGGGGAGTGTCCACCAGGTGGGAGACCTGCATAAATACTGGGCAGGTAGCCCTCATTAAACTGTTCACTGCTTGACCCTCAACACGGAGCCTTGTCTCGTTCTTGGGGGGATTTATTGTATGCTGTTCCAGTTTGACTGCTATGAGTGTAAACCTATTCGTATGGTTTTTCCTATTCGGCTATTTACAGCATTCATATGGCTTCCTGTTTGGCAGATTGGTGTTCTGCAGTAGCTGTGCCTGTGTCTCTGGAGGGGAAGATCTACTAAACGGCGATTTAACCCTTTTATGCTGAGGGTGCCGTTACAATCCCCTTCTGCTTGCGTCATGCACGTCCATCATTTTATACAGAAGAATGATTTCCCTGGTCATTTAGTTGCTCCACCCCTCAACTGGCATGATTTTTCACAGGTCTCATGACATTCTCAAATCTCAACTGGTAATCAGTTGTTTTTCATGCAGATTTAGTCCTTCCACCTCAGTGCCAGCTGTCAACATACATTTTTTTTTTTTTTACAAATTTAGCTACAGTAAGTTTACCTTAGGATTTGGTTACATATTGATTTTACTTTAGAAAATATTTTATGCTATATAACTTTGATTTACAATTATGGCCTTCTAAAACCTCTGGCTAAAATGTTTAACCTACTAGAAGAAACCCATAACAATGGTACTTCAGTTGATACAACTATAATGAAAGGATGGGTTCAAAGAACCATTTGTTTATTTGGCAATGCTAATTCAGCCCTAGTGAGTGAAGGAGACACAGACGTGCCTATGAAAATCGATCTTCAACTTACCCATTTGGCAAATAAGGAATCTGGACCCTCTGCTGAAGGTTTTGGAGATTATTTTATTAAAGAGATTGGTAAATATATCTTTTCATTACTAGATAAAGCCCAATCTACAATAAAAATAAATTTTAAGCCGAAATCTTTGGACATAAAGGAAGGAACCACTTCCCAGCCGATCCTCTCAATATGGATAATTTTCAAGAGGCCCTTGACCCACCGACAGATACAGATCACCAACTAATTTTTCTGTCCACAAATCAAATCATGGGAGATGCAGGGTTCAAAAAAGCTTATTAGTGCTTTCAAACCTTCAAAAGGTAAGTGTACTATTTTTTTTTTCTTCCCACATACAATTAGGAGGCAGACTTTCCCATTTTTTCCAAGTTTGAGCACTTATTACATCAGATACTTGGGTTCTTAATACCATTTAATGTTACAAGATATAATTATTTGCACCTCCACAGCAATTGTCAGCTCCCGATACTATAAGGTTTTCAGAAAACAACCAATATCTCATCAATTTGGAGATGTCAGAACTGATTTCAAAACATACTGTAATCCCAGTCCCCAATTTACTTCCAGATTTTATAAGCAACACCTTTCTAATAAAAATGAAAGATGGCAGCCACAAGCCAATAATAAATTTAAGATACCTCAACAATTTTGTTAAATTTTATCATTTCAAATGGGAAGAAATTACTTTCCTTAAGGTTAAATGACTGGATGATCAAAATAAATCTTGAGCATGCATACCTTTCTATTCCAAGTCATAATCATTATCAAACTTACCTTTAAATAATTTTTTGCATGAATCAAAAATGGCAGTTTACTTGCCTACCCTTTGGACTATCCTCCAATCTTTGGTGCTGTACCAAACTTATGAACCCAATTATTTTTCTATTAAGAAACAGAGGAGTGAGACTAATTATCTACTAGATAGATGCTTTACTTTTTTCTCAATCTATACACACAATTCAGATGCATATGCATTGGACAATGTCCTTATTAACCTTGCTAAGAATCATCATCCATTTGGACTCTAACTCATGAGAATCAAAAACTATTCAGAGAGAAATCAACTTTGTTATCAGCAAAAGATTGATCTCGACCCATTCCATAGCATAGCCCATACTGTCAGTGTCCCTGAGGCAGTACCTGGAGTGACGAAACGCATAGGACTATGGAACTGACAACAATTCCACGGTTTGACTTCTGCACTTGCTGTTTTAAAATTACATGTAAGCGAATAAAATTGTTATGTACTTGATTTTCAATCTTGCACTACAATTTTTGCACTCTCTTCCAATAAATGATCCTGAGAATGTCAAGGTTCTGAAGCAAGAGAGTGATCTCTTTAAAGAATATCTGAAAGCATGAAGTTGGAATTAAAACTGTGAGTGGCCAATTAAACTTTTGTTAACAAAGGTTTATACACAGTTAAACACTATGTTGTGCCTTTGTTATTTCCCCTAGCAAAATCACCCCTACCTTCTTGTTTTTTGTCTATAGTTGAAGATTAGAGGTAATCTTTGGGGTGGATTCATTGCTGAAGGGAAGTATTTATTTTATATTCATAATTTTTGCACATAGTATTTGCAACTTTTGCACATATATTTGCACTTGCATAATTAATAGGTTGTGATTGTCACCACAAATATTGATACAGTTTAATAAAATTAATATTTTCAGATGTCAAAAGAGCTAGGCAAAGCTGTGAATTGTAAGTAAAAGTTTGGTGATACTGTTTGCAGGCATCATCGTCGCAGGGAAAGTGTTTGTAGTGTTCTGTTCACGTGCAAACATTTTATAAATTACTTACTGTGTTGATAACTCGTCTTAAGATAGATTTTGATTGCTTAAATTTTACTGGTTTGACATGCAGTTGTGCTCAAAAGTTTGCATACCCTTGCATAAATTGTAATATTTTGACATTGATTTTGAAAATCTGACTGATCATGCAAAAGAATGTATTTTATTGAAGGATAGTGATCATATGAAGCCATTTATTATCAAAGATTTGTTTGGCTCCTTTTTAAATCACAATGATAACAGAAATCACCCAAACGGCCCTAATCAAAAGTTTAGACACCCTTGAATGTTTTCCCTTGTTACAGACACACAAAGTGACACACACAGGTTAAAATGGCAATTAAAGGTTAATTTCCTACACCTTTAGCTTTTTAAATTGCAATTAGTGTCTGTGTATAAATAGTCAATGTGTTTGTTAGCTTTAATGTAGATGCACTGAGCAGGCTAGATACTGAGCCTAGATGGGCTAGATGAGCTAGATGGGGAGCAGAAAATAACCTGCGTAACAAGGTAATGCAACTTTACAAAGATGGAAAATGATATAAAAAGGTATCCATAGCCTTGAAAATGCCAGTCAGTACTGTTTAATCGCTTATTAAGAAGTGGAAAATTCAGGAATCTCTTGATACCAGGCCAATATTCGGTAGACCAAGAAAGATTTCAACCACAACTGCCAGAAGAATTGTTCGGGATTCAAAGAGCACAATTTGATGATACTTGAACAGAAATGAGCTGCATGGTGCATGGTGGAGTTGCCGGAAAGTAGCTTTGACTGCGCCAATACCACTGTCATGGCACAGCCCGAGCCCTGCAGACAGCTAGGCATGGCTGTCCCTTTAAGAGACCTGGCTGGGTTTGAACTCACATTTCCAGCATCCCAGTCAGGTTGCTTCAGCATCTGTCTGCCTTATTCTGCTTCCTGATGCTTTGCATGTTTGGTGTTTCCTGCCGGATCTTTGCTTCGCTACTGACTGATTTATCGACTACGTTACTCCGCTGCCAGCCCTGACTTCTGCTTCTCATCTGACTCTGCCTTTGGATTTCCCCTTAATCTGTACTGCACTTTTGGTTTTTGCCTCCTTCCTGTGCCATCTCCTGCAACTGGGCTCCAACTCCCTGGTGAACTGTTACAGCCACAAAAAAGCCGGTTGCAATATGACTGACAACACCTTGACACGCCTCACAGCTTCTGACTGCGGCGGTACTTACCTTATCCGGGGGGCGGCCGGGGACCTCAGTGCGGCTCGAGCAGTACTGCTTCCACGCAAGCCACGCGCGGCTCAATCTTCACTTCTGAGCGGGCTGCATGCACTGACCGCAATGAGCGGTCATGCTGCCCGCCTGGCCCGCCTTTGCCCTATCGTGGTTTCTATTTCAGTACCCTTTAGTGCGTTCCTTTATCTATTGTGTTTATTCTGATATTGACCTTGGCTTTGTATCTGACTCTTAATTTATCTTTAACCCTTTCCTGCCTTGTTTGCCCATCTGACTGATTACCATGTACCTTACTCTGGCTAGTTCTTGCTTTCGTTGTCTGTCCGTTACCTTGACCTCAGCTCACCTCCGATTATGCTATTTCTCTGTCTAACGTTTAGTCCGGCCATTCTAAGGCCCGGTAATACGTTCTTTCCTAGTCTTGTCCCTTGCTATCCTAAATTATGCTGGGTTGGGGTATTAAATTGTAACACTGACACACTGTAATTTGGAGTAACGAGACCAAAATAGAGCTTTATGGTCACAACCATAAGTGCTATGCTTGGAGAGGGGCTAACAAGGCATATAGTAAAAAAGAATACCATCCCCACTGTGAAGAATGGTGGTGGCTCACTTATGTTTTTTGGATGTGTCTTCTAAAGACACAGAGAATCTTGTAAAAATTGATGGCAAGATGAATGCAGCATGTTATCAGAAAATATTGGCAGACAATTTGCATTCTTCTGCACGAAGGCTGCGCATGGGATGCTCTTGGACTCTCCAGCATGGCAATGACTCTAAGCAAGGGCAAGTTGACCCTCCAGTGGTTGCAGCAGAAAAAAGTGATGGTTCTGGAGTGGCCATAACAGTCTGCTGACCTTAATATCATCGAGCTACTCTTGGGAAATCTCAAACGTGTAGTTCATGCAAGATGACCAAACACTTTGCATGACCTGGAGGCATTTTTCCAAGCTGAATGGGCAGATATACCACCTGCAAGAATTAGGGGCCTCATAGACAACTATTACTGAAAACTGCATGCTGTCATTGATACTAAATGGGGCAATACACAGGGATCATTTCATTTTTTTCTTTGTTGCCAGGTTTTGTTTTATGATTGTGCCATTCTGTTATAGCCTACAGTTGCATATGAATCCCATATATTACCAATTCTTCAAGGGTATGTAAATTTTTGAGCACAACTGTAAGGGTCCTGTTACACCAAACTGAAAATGGTAAAAAGGGTTGTTGAAAAGCTTTAGAAATACAGTGATGCCATCAACAATATTAATAGGACCATAATCAATAATGAATCATGTTTAATAATGTATTCTGTCTTTTGACTTGAATCACAAGACTGTTTTTAAAGCAATCACAATCTACCATTCATGGACTACTTTAATGCTGGCAATGCTGCCACAGTTGAAAAACTTTATCGAATTAAAACATGACCTATAACATAAATCTTGCAATGTCAAGCTCATTAAGTTTATCTTAAAGTATACTGCAGGTCTATAAAGTTTCAGCAAGGCTAATAGGTAGTAGTAGAGCTACTTTCTTTTGTAAAAAAAAATGAAATGTTTAACTTACCCAGTGCCGTAGGGTCTCGGTTTCCAACTTATCTTCCAACATCTTGTGATGACATGTGAGGGCACTGGCAGCAAGCCTCCATAAAAGTCAGGATTCCTACTTCAAGTATGCATTATCGACATTTCCACAGTGATTCTTTAGTTGTTAATACTTCATACAGTACACTTGGCTCTTTGTTCTAACAAAGAGTTCTCTGTAGTGTATTTGCTGTGCATGTCTTTGATTATTCTCCTGTTGATCTATTCCCTGGTTTAAAGGAACACTGTACTGTTAGGAATAAAAACTGCATGTCATCCGCCATGAAAGGGTTAAATACCCTTTAAACACTTACCTGGTTCCTACACCGATGTCCTCTGCCACCAGCCTCAGCTGATTGGGGGGGGGGGACCTAATGTGCATGCACAATGAGCGTTGTACATGATTAAGCCATCAATTTAGAAAATCATTGACTCAATGCTTTCCTATCAAGATTTTCAACACACTGGACATTCTCATGCAACCCTGAGGATGTCCAGTGTCCTTTCAAACTCTGTGAAACTGCAGCAAGTACCTCTAGTGGCTGTTGGTAGACAGCCACCAGAGGCAGTCTTAACACTGCAATGTAAACATTTACATTGCAAGGTAAAGAGAACAGGGACACTGCACCCA